ACCTTTTTTTTATCCTAACCCTAACCCTATATATATATCTATATATATATATATATAGATATATATATATAGGTCTCTCTTGTAAATGAGTCCTCGAGGCTCAATGGGATTAACCTGTCTAAATAAAGGTTGAATGAAAAAAAAAAAAAAAGCATATATATATTTTAACAAGCACTTAGATGGTTAACAACCCATTCAAATACACCAAAATGCAGGAAAACACATCTACTTTACTCAAGATTTTCTGGGGATGGATCCCCAAACACACCCACCCCCTGCTATTTGTGTTCTGGCATCGATCAGTTTACAAATTAAGCTCTGTCACTTGGTATGTCTACTGCCGTTATGATTCTGTTCAGTTTTATGTAAAGAGTTTTCTGTAATAATTTGAAGAAGTGGCAATACATTTATTATGTTCATTATGTGAATAGCTAAAGTTTTAAAGTGGTTTTTGATACTTTTAATTTTTTCAAAACTGTCATTTTTGGAATTTGAAAATATTTTTTTCAATTAAATGTGTCTTGAATGAAAAATACCCCATGTTTAAAAGTATAAAAACTGTATTAACACTATTACAGAACAGGTCTTAAGTATTTATGTCACACAAATATTTCTATTACTTTAAAGAGACAAATTGAAGAAAATTATTTAATAAACATGAGGGTTATGAGGGGGTCCATGAATTTTTTCTCCCCTGTAAGGGGTCCCTGAACACCAAAAATTTGGAAACCCCTGGTTTAGAGAAATCGGATAAAGTACAATAAAATTTGAAGCTCACACATAGTGAAAAGCTGATGAATGAAAATGTAGTCTCTCAAAAGAGCTTTAAATTTTATTACACATGCAAAAAAAAAAAAATGCTGACAAATGGCTGCTCAGAAACATGGTTGCGATTTTTAAAAACATCAACTACTGATCTTCAGTATTCTAAACCGTCTTCTTCAGTCTTAAATACAATGTGCAAAAAAATATAAATAACCCTCTGCTGACAGAAACTTTCCATGCTGCTCCAAGAAGCATTTTTCTTAAAAGCCATACAGAATACTAAATTGATGTGAACGCTTGCATTAAGCCACTGTGGGTCAGTTTCAAACTGACCTTTCATGGGCATGATCACCCAGAAATGAATGTCCATAGAATGTTATCTGAATGCACATTTTGTCCCTGAGAAACTTCTGCTCTCTGGTAAAAATACTCTCACCATTAATCTGGACATAGAAGCCTCTAGAAATCCTAGACGTAACTGCTAAACTACAAATCATAACCTGGCTCAGTTCCATAGGCACGTTAATATCTCAAGATTTTTATTTTTTGTTTGACAGAAATATTTATTCAGAGGTATCACTGAGCAAGTCATCTAAAACTGAGGTAATTTGTTGTGTCCCTCAGTGTTGTGTTCTTGAACCCATACTTTTCCTCTGTACATGCTGCAATGGAGAAATAACGTAACTCTGATGCAAAGTGTAAGCACAAAGATTTATCTGGTAGTAAACTAGAGTGATGGTTTTATTTTTATCTTGATTCCGTCTGTCCGTCCATCCGTCCATCCATCCATCCAACCATGTTCCGAAGTTGGGCAGTGGGGGCAGCAGTTTGAGCAGGGAGGCCTAGATATCTCTATCGACAGCCATCGCTTCCAGTTCTTCTGGGAGGATTCCAAGGCTTTCCCAGGCCAACCGAGACAAAACACTTGTATGGACAAAGAAGAACAAGGAACTCAATATCCCTTGCCAGGATGTGGCTTACCGGGGCCCCACCCTGGAGCCAGGCCTGGGGGAGGGGCTCGTCAGCGATCGCCTAGTGACCGGGTCTACCAATGTGGCCTGGTCGAGCTCAGCCTGAATGGGTTTGCCTTCCTGTGGGACCACCACCTGCAGGAGGGGCCATACGAGTTGGGTGCACAATGTCATGGACAGTGGCTGAACGCCGGGGCCTTGGCATGTTCCCGTTTTTAGTATTTTACATTGCTTTTAACGTAGCTGCTTTGTTTTGTTATTTGTCATTTGTTATACTCTGCAGATGCTGGATGCGGTCTATCATGGTGCATTAAGATTCATAACTGGCTGCAACTACTGTACCCATCATTGCACCCTGTATTCACTGGTTAACTGGTCATCATTAACCTCACTCAGACTCTTCCACTGGTACATTTTCATCTTTAAATCACTTCTCGGTCTGTTGCCTTCATACATCTCCTCCTACATGTTTTAGCACGAGTGCAGTTACAGCGTGCGCTCTCTGGACAGTATTACATGCAGCGTTCCCTCAGTGCAGACTGAACTACAGTAGGCAAAAGGGCCTTCTCCTACTCGGCTCCTGTTTCCTGGAATATCTTGTAAAAAGATTTGAAGCTCTCGACCTTAACCTCTCTAAACGACTTTAAAACTCTGTTAAGCTCCTGGCAAAAAACAATGCAGACATGTTCCTGTTTTTAAGTTTCCTAAATCTCCTTATAATTTAGCTAGGTTTTTCTTTCTACTATTCATCTTGATTGTCCTTTTGGTTGTGATTTTATTTTGATTTGTAAAAAAGAGGAACTTAAATTTGTATGCCTAATCCTATTTTGACAGTTTATTGTTGTTGTTGTTATCCATTGCTGTCATCACTCTTTGTTAAGAAATCAGGTCTCTCTTGTAAATGAGTCCCCGAGGTGCAATGGGATTAACCCATTAAATAAAGGTTGAATGAAAATTTTATATAATTTAATTTACTTTTCATTGTACCGATATATGCTTTTTATGTCCGTCTACTGTTGTCTGTACCTCATCTGTTCTTTGTTTAAAATAAGTCTCTCTTGTAAATGAGTCCTTGTGGCTCAATGAGACGGCTGAATAAATTGGCGCTCTGACCCTGGTTTGCCAAAGCTTCTTTAATGTAAAGGGTTGTCAATGCACTGGCTGGCTACAGTGACCAACCACCAAGAAAGAGGATCAAAATTTAGAAAAGCTGTTTGGAAAGCTGGAATCATGCCCCTGGGGTAGGTCCTCTAATGTCTGCAAAAGACTTCCAAAAATTTCTAGCTCCAGCTTTAAAGAAAACTTGAGGTTTTGTCTTTTCAAAGCTTGTTTTGAACATTTTTTTTGTAGCTTTATGTTGTTTACTAAACTGAATGTTTTGTGTCATTGAATTTGCTCAACTGCTTTAAGTTAAGTGCTATGTGTTGTCATCACTGTATGTTTCTATATGGTGACAAAATTAGTTCTCTGCATTTAACCCATCGCATCTGAGATGCACCCAGGTGGAGCAGTGGGCAGCTATGCAAGCGCCCGGGGAGCAATTAGTGATTGGGTGTCTTGCTCAAGGACACCACGACATGTTGGCATGGTCGAGAGTCAAATCGTGACGTTCTGGTTCCAAATCGACTGCCCTAATTCTATACCATCTCGGGCCCATTAGGTTTTATCATTAAATGTTATTTTTATGTGAAGTTCGCCCCTTCCTTTTACGTATCTACAAAATACTGAGAGCCACTTGATCTATGTTTACATTTCATATAAAGTCTAAAAATGTCAGAAAAAGAACACTGAAGTCAGATATTCAATTTACAATATAAGTAGAGGAAAAACCAAGGATGATGATAGGATGTGACATGAGATCATTTTGATCAAAAATACATTAATAATTAAAATCTTGTCAACATGTTCTTTGTTTTCATCTACTCTTAGTTAAATGTGCTTCTTTGAAGCTTTATGAATTATTAAACAAAATATTTGTAGCTTCTTTTAAATACACCATAAATTTATTTTTGAACATTCAACTGTAGATAACATCTTGCCATAAGAGAAAGTCTTTCCATTGAGCTGTCAAACTGTTTCCTCTGCTTAGACAAGGTTTTAGAACAATGTAAGAAGAGTTTGTGCTAAGCAGCTTGAACAGAAAGCTATTTTCCTCCTTGTGTGTAAAGAAGAGGAACATCAGTGTTTAACATCAGGAACAGAGATGAGAAAATGTGGTGTGTGTGACAGCTAACTAGAAGCACTGACAGTATCATTACCACCAGCATGGGCAGATGCTGACACACTGACAACACATTCGCATGAGAGAGAAAGAATGTGAAGAGCAAGATCATGGACAAAGAGATCTGCGAAGTTAAATAAATGTAAAGCACTAAGAGAGGGGCTAGAAATCTGTTAGGAAAATGCTTTTGAATAGTGAATCTTTGAAAACCATATGGTGGAGTAAAAATAAAATGATTTCGTAGGTATTCACCCACACAGTAAAATGACAGAATCAAAGGAATAGCCAGTTTGTAAATGTGTATGTGTTGGGTGGTGGTCTACAGCCAGCTGTCAGCGCCGCAGGGACACCACACTAATAGGGACTCATGGGACCTCGGCCCATCACAAGCAGGCACTGCTGCCTGCACTGCTTGGCCCTTAAAGGGCCACTGCTTCCAAGCTCCCTTTTATTGCTCTTTTTGTTGTTTTTTTTAGCTGATTTGCTCCGTTTCCAGCTCAGGTGGAAAATCTGTCTCAGAACCAGGTTTTCATTTCAACTCTTTGCTTCCATCCCCCTCAAAGCCCTCTTACTAAATGTACACAAATGGTTGTGAGCTCTCCTTTTCACAAACACCTCACTAATAAAGAGCGAGGGGATGCTTTCAAAAGCAAGAGTGTATTTTTCCCCACAGTTGTACAAAGATAAAGACAGACTGGAAAATGATCAAATAGAAAAAGCTGCAAATCATCAGACAGAGTTCAATGTAGACACAAGTGCTGACCAAAAATCAAAGATAAATGCAGGTAATGAAGATTACTTGTCTTCTGAACCCCCTTCTAAAAGCTGTCTGACTTCAGATAACGGAGGAGAGCAAGTCAGCAGGTTGTCATTTCATTGGTGATGTAGGTTTGCGCACCACTTACCACTTGCATGGCTGAGCTTCGGGGCGGGTGTGGCTCAATAAGTAACTGACAAGGGGTCTGTCCAAAACTCCTGATCTGAGACTCCACAGCCTAAACGAAACAAAAGGAAAAGAAAAAACAAAGATTATATACATTTCATCTCATTTTTCTGTAAAATTTTTCTTGTAATGTGCCTCAGATTTGTCTCAATGAAACAATAACGACCCCGCTAATGTAGAACAGATTACTTTGCACTTAGAAGTAAATACAAATTATTCTTTTATACATGCTACAACCTTCCCTGATTATTGTGTTTACATAAAAAACATCATAAAAGCCTTTACAGCAAGGTGAATAATACATGCACTTGTATTCAAGCACATGTGCACATTCTACATATAAACACTCTTTTTCACCGTCTCCTGTTCACACGCATTTATGCAAAGCTGCCAATTAATCCTGTACAGCCATACAGAATCAGAGGCTGTGGGCAGACTGACTGGTATGCTGGGTTAGGTGGTGTTAATGAAGAGGTATTGGACCATAAATGTCAGAGCAGACGCCGGCTGAGCAGCCTCTGGATATCATCACACAGCTCAATGTCAGACGAACCACTGTGAGGACGGACACACTCGCAGTACAGATGCATGAAGCTTTTCTAAACCACCTTAAAACATCAGGCAGTTAGGACAATGGTTTTAGAATGTCAAACATTCTTTATCAGTAAAGTAGGTTTTTATGTTGCTCTTTAACTAAACTTTCTTGTAAATACGTTTCAAGAAAGATCTTTACTGTTTCCCAAAGTTGAAACGGAGACAAATTGTAGAACATATGACCAGAATCATTATCTTAAACAAAAAATAATCATAAAAGTGTTTCTCAAATCTTTCCATTTTTAGAAACCAAAATACTCTTAAACACATCAGGGTAAATGTGCATAACACCATCAGGCTGATAACAGTTGAAGACCACCTATCAGACAAAGAATGAACGTGTGTAAAAGGGACAGGCAGACAGAAAGGCCAACACAAAATGATGACAGAGCCATCAGTGTGTTGTTGTGCTCTACGACTAACTGCTGGGTAAGAATGACAGCTTGTGTGTGTAGGCTGAAATGTTTGAGCCCAACTTGGCGCAGCCTGAGAATGAGCTCATAGTTGAGGCCTGCACTTGGAATATCCATGAGAATCTTGGGAAATGAGTCTACTCGTATCTATCCATCTATCCATCCATCATATCTTCGCCTTGTTCCCAAGTCAGGTCATGGGGGCAGCAGCTTGAGCAGGGAGGCCCAGACTTCTCTTTTGACATCCACCTCTTTCAGCTCTTCTGGGATTTTAAAGCCCCCAGTATATTCCCGCGTACGTACATCCGGAGGTACATGCGTAGGTCTGCGCAGGGCATGTCCGTGCAAAGCTCAGTTTTTACAACCACGTACGCAGTCTCGCACAATGAACTCCCCGGCGACGGACTGTTTTGTATGTGATACCAATGTATTAAATTCCCCTTCTTCATCCCTGATCTGGCCTTTTCTTTTGTTTTTTTGCCAAAAGGCAAGCGATCTCTTCCTCCTCCTCCATTGATGCCATGACTGAAATGGTGAGAAATTAAGGAATTTGTCACGAGTGAATTAAAATCAGGTCCAACGTGGCTGCAGGAGGGTCTGGAGATTTCCTGGTGGGCCGCTTTGATGTGTGGGCTGCAGGACCAGCGCTCCCTATTTTTTAAATTTTTTAGAACTTTTTATTAACAACATATAAACACAGAACACCGCTGTGGCTGGGGCTGCCCGCTCTCGTTTTTTGGACCTGTCAATCAATCCAGTAGGCGTGTCAGCAAATGAACAATTGGCGACCGCAATTTGTCCCAAAGGTAAACGCCCCTTGTCTGTGGAGCTGCTCTGCAGCCGCTCAGGGTGGCCGCTCGAGCAAGAAGTCTCAACCCTCTGCGTACAGTGCGCACAGTTTCCATGTGGCTGACAGGACGCGCAAGTCTACTGGAGCCTTAAGGCATTCCCAGGCCAACTGAGAGACAGTCTCTCCACTGTGTCCTGGGTCTTCCCCGGGGTCTCCTCCAAGTTGGACATGCCAAAGCATCTCCCTAGGGGAGGCTCCCAGGGAGCATCCTTACCAGATACCCAAACCACCTCAACTGGCTCCTCTCAATGGGGAGGAGCAGGTGGTCTACTCTGCTCCTCTCCCGGATAACTGAACTTCTCACCATATCTCTAAGGGAGAGTCCAGCTACCATGTGGAGGAAACTCATTCCAACTGCCTGTATTTGTGATCTCATTCTTTCAGTCACTACTCAGAGTTTGTGAACATAGGTGAGGGTAGGAACATAGACCGACCGGTAAACAGAGAGCTTCGGTTTACAGCTCAGCTTCCTCTTCACCACATCGGACCGACACAGAGTCTGCAATACTGCAGACACCACACCAGTCTGTCAATCTCATGTTTCATTCTTCCCTCACTCGTGAACAAAACCCTGAGATACTTGAACTCCTCCACTTGAGGCAGAACATCACCCTAGATCTGAAGAGCGCAATCCACCCTTTTGCGACCGAGGACCATGGCCTCAGATGTGGAGGTGCTGATTCACTTCCCAGCCGTTTCACACTCGGCTGCGAACCGCTCCATTGAGAGCTGAAGATCACGGCATGATGACGCCAACAGGACCACATCATCCGTATATAGCAGAGATGGAATCCTGAGGCCAATGAACCAGACTCCCTCTGCCCCCTGACTGCACAGAGAAATTCTGTCCATGAAAGTTATGAACAGAATCAGTGACAATGGGCAGCCCTGGCAGAGTCCAATTTTCACCTACTCATATCCATTGTCTGAAACTAACTAGAGAAGAAGATGATGGAATGATTTTAGTATATCCTGATGCATGCTTAATAATCCAGGTAGAAAAATCTAAAAAAATGTTAAATCTGGTCCTCTGGACATTCAAAAAACAAAACAAAGCAAAAAATAAATAAATTAATTAAATTAATTTTTTAGATTTTAGTATACCTTTTTGCAAGGTTTCATCAAGTTATTTAGGCAGAAGTGAGTCCTTAAATTTCTGCAGAACAACATAAAAAAACAAAGATTTCAAACAGTTCAATATTTCGCTAAATTGCAAGCTATTTTATTTTTATCCTATAAGAATTAAGCTAGGTTCACAAGTTACAATTTTCAGCTGCTATAGACAAAATCTTTTCAAGTGAATTTTATTTTTTACAAAATCTTTTGTTGTGAGCTTTGATCAATGGTCAGTCAGTGTCACAGGCTCACCAACAGCCATAAATGAACATAAATTGAGCAGTGTCCGAAAATTTCTAGGGAAAACCTGCAGTGTGTTGTTACTGCTGCTGCAGCCGATATACCGACCCTTTCCAAAAAATTAGAATATCATGGAAAAGTTGCTTAACTTCCATAATTCCATTCAAAAAGTTTAATCTTTAATAGATAATAGATTCAGGGCCCACAATTTAAACAATTTCAAATATTTATTTGTTTATTTTTACATAATTTGGGCTTCCAACTCATGAAGCCCGTGACAACAGGATTTAAAAAAATTTAAATACTGTGGAGAAATCAGCCCAAATTTTTCAGGGCATGAATGTTTTTAAATCGAGTGTGACGCACTAATCATCTACTAAACTTAAAGCCCCTGCACAGGTTTCTCCAGGTGTCATTAAAAATTGCTTCAGTTTGGTTCAATTTTCTCAGTTCGGTTCAATATGTGGAAGATTGCAGACATAACTCGCCAGAAGACCATCATTGATACCCTCCATAGGATGGTAAGCCACAAAAGTTCATAGGTAAGGAGGCTGGCTGGTCACAGAGTGCTGTGTCCAAGCATATCAATGGAAATTCTAATGAAGGGTAAAATGTGTCAGGAGAAGATGCACCAGCAAAATAAGACTGTGGGCTTCAGTGGATTATCAAACAGAGAAGATTCCAGAATCTGGCAGAGATCCAGAAAGAGTGGAATGAGGCGGGAGTCACAGCTTCAAAAACCACCACATTCAGACGCATCCGGGAGACAGGCTACAACTGTTGGGTTCCTCGGCCCTCTTTTCCAATGAAAGTAAAGTATGCCTTTCATTCAGAAATCAAGGGTTTGGAGGAAGAAGGATGAGGGACAGAACCCATACTGCTTGAGGTCCAGTGTGAAATATCTACAGTCAGTCATGATTTGGAGTGCAATGTCCGGTGCAGGTGTTGATAAACTCTGCCTTCTTAAATCCAAGGTCACTGCAACAGTCTACCAGAACGTTTTAGAGGACTTCATGATTCCTTCTGCTGAGGATCTGTATGGAGATGCAGATATCATTCAAAAGGACCTGGCCCCTGCCCATGCCACCAGAAGCACCAAAACCTGGTTTGATACCCATGCCACAGTGCTTGACTTGCCAGCCAACTCGCTGGACCTAAACCCCATTGAGAATCTATGGGGTATTCTCAAGAGGAAAATGAGGGGCACTAGACCCAACAACCAAGAAGATCTGACAGCAAGCATCAAGGAAATCTGGGCTTCCATAACTCCCAGTCAATGCCACAGGCTGATTGCCTCAATGCCACGTCGCATCTAGGCAATGATTAAGACAAAGGGATTCCCAACAAAATACTGAAGATTGACATATCGTTATGAAAGTACCATATTTTTATTGATTTGTTGTGATCCCAATTTCTTTCTTTATTTCTGCAAAAACTGAGTAGTGTGGCTGATGTCTTCACAGTATTCTATTTTATTGAATTCCTGTTTTCATTGGTTTCATGAGCTGGAAACCCAAATTATGTAAAAATAAACAAATAAATTCTTGAAATCATTTAAATTGTGGGCCCTGAATCTATCATCTATAATCTATCATCTATTAAAGATTAATTTTTTGAATGGAATTATGGAAGTTAATCAACTTTTCCATGATATTAGAATTTTTTGGAAAGGGTCTGTATTTTCCTCAGCCTATGAGCATGTCCACAATAGGGGTTGAATCGACTAGTCAAGTCTAGGACATATCGTGAGTTTTTTAATTTCACGTTGACAAGTCGCAGTAACATGATTGGGTTACATGTCACGCCACCGCCCAGCGCTGATAACCGCTCAGAGATCAC